GTTTAGCTTACTGGCTGATACTCTCTGCGACTGGGTCCCTGAATATATGTGCTTATTGGATGTCCCTAAGTGTGAGAGCCACCTGGCGGTAGTTTCGCAGATGAATCCACTTCTGTTTTATGGCTTTAATACAAATTTAAATATGCTTGTTTATGATTTTCAATCTGCCAAAAAAGGCTCACAATACTAGCCTTAGCTCTTCAGGTTCCATATTAAAAGGGACACTGCAGTCACCAGAACAACTAAAACTTTAGAGAAAAGATAATGTTTACATTACAGCCACTGGCCACTCCTCAGATGGCTACTAGAGCAGCTTCCAGGGGCAGTGCTGCACAGACATTCAGTGTCCCCATTCTCTGCATGGAGACACTAAACTTTCCTTGTAGAGATGCATTTCCAGGTCTATAATCAAGGATTGTGAACCCTTTTTAAATATAGGAACAAAATCTGCCTTCCTCCAATCCTCTGGTACAATACCTGAAACAAAAGAATCTCGAAAGATTAAATACAGAGGTTCAGAGGTTATTTCCCCACTTAGCTCCTTAAGTACTTGTGGGTAAATACCGTCAGGCCCCGGAGTTTATTTACATTCATTTTCTTTAACTGCTGTAGCACCTTGTCTCGAGTCATCCAATCACTAGTTATATGCAAGTTTTTTTGCAGCAATCATTTGCATATCTCTTGCCATAGGATCCTCGTTAATATATAATGAAGAGAAATAGTTATTTAAAATGTCTGCATTTTCCTGGTCTTCATTAACTAACAGACCCGTCTCTGTTTCCAGTGTACCTACACTTTCATTTTTAGTTTTTTTAGAATTGATGTATTTGAAAACAAATTTGGGGTTGGTTTTGCATTCTTTGGCTATCAATTTTTGCATGCATAATTGGCTTCCTTATATCTTATATAAGATGCCTCTGATTAGTCTGATCTAAATGCTACCTTTCTAATATTAGTTTGAATAGTTTCCATTTACCCTCAGTGTTTTTTTTGCTAAGGAGTTTATGCCAGTCGATATTTTGTAGAGCTGCCCTAATCTTATTGAAATTTGTTTTTTAAAATTATACGTTTTAGTATACCCCACGTGCTTTTGGTTTTTTTTGAGTTTATTTAAAAAAAATACCACATTGTGATCATTATTTCCCAAATGTTCCCCTACTAGAATGTTGGTCAAAAGATCAACCTTGTTTGTTATAACAAGATCCAGACAAGCATCCTTTCTAGTTGGTGCGATTCCCCTTGCTGAAGTACTAGTCCCTCTATCCCAATTTATGTCTGGGTAATTAAAATCTCCAATAATTAAAGTGTTACCCAGATGTGCAGCTTTCCCAGTTTTCTCCAACAGCTGTTCTTCCTCATTAATATTTACATTAGGTGGTTTATAACATATCCCAACTAATAATTGGTTTCCCTTCGTTCACCACAAGCAGATATCTACCCATAAAGCCTCGACATTTTCCTCATCCACTCTACATGCCAAAGATTTGACTTTAACTCATGGTTGACATACAAACATATCGCACCACCCTTCTTGCTTTTCCTATCCTTCCTAAATAGCGTGTACTCATTTAAGTTAACTGCCCAGTCATGTATCTCATCCCACCATGTTTCAGTTATGCCTATTATATCATATTGTTTAGTGTATGCTATTGCCTCTAGTTCCCCCATTTTGTTATTTGGTTATTTAGGCTCCTTGCATTAGTAAGAATACATTTAATAGTATCATGAGTCATTTGTACTTTTGTGTATTTTTTATCAATATTAAATACCTCCCTGTTGTGTGCTTGCCCCTCCCCCTCATCTCCACCCCCACTTATACTGAGCTAAAGCCCATCTCCTTTCTGTCCTATCTCCAGTTTGGTGATAGGATATTTCAGAAGCTGAAACTTGATTTGCAGAAACTTTAAATGTGAATATCTTTCTTTTATTTATTATTTGTATTTTATTATTATTTTTATTACATTATTTATTTATTTGCATATTTGAATGCACTATCTATAGAATGCATTAACAAGTAATAGGTTATCCAAATTAAAGATTCAATTTGAAGAGTTAATCCAGAGCTGAACACTGAAAAAATGCTATAAAACTTTAAATTTTAATAAATCTTATTAATATATATATTTGTTAATTGCCTGAGGTTGTAAATTTCACTTTCAATATTTATATTTTTTCGTAAAGCGTGACGCACATCCGCATTGTTCATTTTCAAAAGGCACCTGTTGAGTAAACGAACCACAAGTAAGTTCAGCACACAGAGTGGAATTTGAATGCATACTTAGCAGTTTCTGTCTCCCTGCTCCAGTGACAATGAAACAAATAGGAGAAAGCAGGGAAGGGATTGCAGCCCACTCTCTAAATAAGCTCACTGGCCTGTCTCCATGGATCCAAACACGAGAAGTTGTTAGGGACTGATCTGGATACAGAGATAACAAGTACAAAGGGAATCTGTTCTGACTTGTTCATGAATCCAACCCCTCATAAATATGGCAGCAGTCAGCAGGCAAAATTGTCCATTTATTCTTCTGAACCTTCTTAATCTTGCTGAATTATCTAAGACACACAGGATCGCTCAATAAACTCCAAGTCTTCAACAGCAACAGTTTCCAAAATAATTTAGGGGATCTCCGTATCGATATATGTTCTAGTGTGGAAATTATTTGAATCACCCCAATTGACCCTAAATCCTAAAAATGCCCAAAATAGCTCAGAATTAGTCATGAATTAATAAAAAAAATATTCCTGTGATAAGTAATAATAATAATATAAAAATTCCCATCAGCTTCTTGTGGATAATAAAAGAAAAAACATCAATAAAATAAGACAAATTAGGGTTTCCTGACCCCCCTATGACCCAAGAGGGATAAGACAATATCTGTTAATGCTACACATAATTTGTGCTAGTGTGAGCGTTTATAACAGAGTCGGTGGACAGTCCTTTCACACCCTCATCCACAGCCAGTGGTAATTTAACAATAAATAAGACAATTACAAAATGTTACAGGAACTATAATTTAAAGAGAACCCTGCTCAAACGAGCTTACAATCTAGAGGCGGTGGGGTATTAAAACACCATAGGAAGGACATCGAAGGGGGATAGCAACCAAACTACAAGGTGTGAAAGTAGCAGAACTGGAAGGTTAGAGTGGCGTGTAGCCCTTTTAATAGGGTTATAAACTCAAAGTGAATTTAAAATTTAAAGTCAAAATATCTGAACTGGAAAAATTTCCCCAGTCAGTTATGCTTTAAGTTCAGCTACTGTTGCCTTTAATATGAAATACACTTTGAATCCCCTGCAATTCTCTTTTGTGAATAACCCTGTTATGGTTTTAGGAGTATGTAAGTGAAGACAAAGCTTTTACACCTTATGCGCCAATCACTTTTGCTGCTGTCATTAAACTCCCTGTTAAAGGGATGGAATTAAGCAGGTATTACCTGCAGGTTGATTGGAGGTGCCTTGAGGAGTCAGTGGTTATGTGAGACAGTCGCCTACAGTTCATTATTAAGTTAGTTGATTTATCGTGGCACTGAAGTTACATTTCGGGCTTATTAACTAAAATGAGAATTGTTGGAAATTGAAAGTGGATTCAACGTGAATTTTAAATTTAAAGTCAAAATATCTGAATTGAAAACAATTCTCCAAATTAGCTATGCCTCCAATTTTCCTATTTTGATCTAAAATCTGAAATTGTCTTTGATTTCACTTTAAATTCACAGCAATTCTCACTTTAGTGAACAGGCCTGTATGTGTCCTATCATAGCAAGTAAATAGGTGGGTGAACACTTTATAAATAAAACAAAACTCAATAGTTGCTATTTACAATAAGAGTGTATTTTTTATATTTTTGTGTGTTATAAAATACAAAAAAAAACAAAACACTTGGAAACACAATGGGCATTCTAATTATTGTAATACATTTTCTTTCACTGATAATTAAACATAGATAAAATGATGCCTTTTATATCACATGATATCATATGGATGGATGTTCTACCAATTCTTTGTGCTGTGTTCTCTCATAACACTCATAAACCAGTTTTTAAATTCAGACGTAAAAGGTCACATATAAACAGAGAAATCTGATTCTATCCCATGTGTGCACTATTTAAGGGTGTGCATTCATCTGCTCTGCACATAATGCTCTGCACCCACAAGTTATCAAGTTAACTTATCACACCTTTTATGCTAAGTCTATTCTTTTGAGATTTTCTTATGCACACACGCCATGTGTATAATGACTCAGTCAGTTAAAAGGCCACCCATGATAATATCATGGAAAACAAACCTTTCCAAAGGAAAAAAATCATAAAACCAGTTGTAAAACTCTTCCGCTTTGGGGATGCTATAAATAGTTATAATGTGTTGTTAGACATAGATTTTAGGGACAGAACTAGAGTTTAAGAAAATAACTATATTACTTTATTTATAAGAAAATCATTTTAGCATTCTAATGCTTGTAAAACCCCTACGTAGTTTAAGTCTTTAGTTTTTGCAATTTTTTTCATTATTGTAGAAGCAAACTTTACACTTTTTTTCTGCAAGATTAATTTTTATTTTGTTTTTAACTTTTCATTTTATTTAGCGTTCTCTTTGTTCCAAAGTGTAACTGAAGGCAAAATTATTATGGTGTTTATTTTTTGTAATATATTCTATAATATTTTACAGCAGTGGATGGATGAATGGCAGACTGTAGAATAATACACTCTGCTTGTAGTAAATCGTTTACATCATTTTTTTTTCATTCTTATTAAATTTCTTCATAAATGTTTTTTAATGTATACCAATTATTGTAACTTTTGCTATTAGAAGCAGAAAACAAAGAAGTAACATATAACTCAAAGAAGAATATTGATATAGGGCAAAATAGCATGTAAAAATTCATCATTTAAAATTTCAGAATGGGAAATTCACTTTATTGAATAACCATATTTACTAATCAAACTCAGAGTTTCAAATAATTTTTGAAAAGACCAACAAGCTTCTTTTAAGAAACAAAAGGCATAGTGTAAAGGTTGGAATAATCAGTGGATCTGGACTGGATGACCCTGGTATACTGGAAGGAAGAATAGAAAAATATGTAGATACACCCTTTGGCAAGCCTTCAGATGCCTGGGTTCTGGGAAAAATAAAAAATGTTGATTGCATGCTACTTGCAAGACATGGAAGGTAGCATACAATTGCTCCAACAAATGTTAACTACCGTGCCAACATTTGGGCTCTAAAAATGGAAGGCTGTACTCACATATTGGTGACTACGGCTTGTGGATCTTTGAGAGAAGAGATTCAGCCTGGAGATGTAATAATGCTTGATCAGTTTATTGACCGGACTACTAAAAGAGAGCAGACATTCTATGATGAAAAGACATGTTTACCCTGTGTATGTCACATTCCAATGTGTGATCCTTTCTGTAGCAAAACAAGAGAGGTACTAATCAATGTTACTAAAAAAAGAATGGCATTAACTGTCACACTAAGGGTACAATTGTGAACAAAAAGGGACCATGCTTCAATTCTACAGCGGAAAGGCACATGTATCGTCCCTGGGGGGCAGATGTCATCAATATGTCCACGGTTCCTGAAGTTGTTCTTGCCAAAGAAGCTGGCATCTGTTATGCAAGTATTGCAATGGCAACATACTATGACTGCTGGAAGGAACATGAAGAAGCAGTGTCTGTAGACCTGGTACTAAAGATACTTAAGGAGAATGCGAATAAAGCAACAAGTATTCTCCGGACTGCTATACCTCAAATTGTATCCATGGACTGGACAGAAGCACTATTGTAGCTCTCTGTTATGTTACCAAACACTGAATTCTCAGGGTTGGACAGAAAACATTGGGATCAAGAAAAGCCTGGAAAATCAACCGCACAAAACTTTAAAAAAAAAAAAAAACATTTTTGGAGCTCGCATCTTCCATATTTGAAAAGATTAATGAAGCGTGACCAAAGAATATATTTACTAACAGGCTATGGTTACTATGTAGCTAACTACATATATACAACCATATCACACATTTTACAATTGCTTGCCTTTAAACCAGATTAAAACATTTATCTCAGTACTAAGGTTATGGTGCAGTGTTGCTTTAAATATAGGTCACTCAAGATATTGCTACTTGTTTGCATGTACAGGGAACTCTATTTAACATTATTTTAGTACTGTTACTGTTTACACACTTTTTTTACCATACGATTTCATGCAGTATGTATATCACCAATATGTCTATCCAAGTACTCCCATAAATATACATGATATTTTTTTAATTTCCTAGACTAAGACTTTTTAACCATGAAGTGAACATGTCAATGTATGTTGCATAGTCTGCCTAAACAACCTCAGAAGCTTCAATTTATGTCAGACTATTGAGTTAGAAAACAAAGTTCTGGAAAACTCAGTTAAACAAGTTACTTACAGCTTTTCTTGCACATTAAATTTGACCTTTATGCATATCATGGAAGGAGATAGTATTTTAAGTACTGGATGATGGACACCACTGAGAAACGAAAATTTAAAATATTTTGTCATGCTTTGTATTGTCCTGTTCAAAGATGTATGCTTGCTTTGTATAGACAGATTTAAAACTATCTAGATCAGGGGTAAGTAACCTTCGACGCTCCAGATGTTGTGGACTACATCCCCCATAATGCTCCTACACCCATAATGCTGGCAAAGCATCATGGTAGATGTAGTCCAAAACATCTGGAGTGCCAACGGTTGCCTATGCCTGATCTAGATAGTACAAAAACAAGCAAATAAACAAACAAACAAAAAAAAAACATTCTTTGAGCTAGGCTCCAAAAGAGCATGACCAGCTTAACCTCTTATTTTGGCCTTTTGGTGAAACTGACCCTTATGTTTTACTCCAATATGTCTTCGGTTGTCTCAGTGCTCTGACCTTGTCTCATATTAGCCAAGGGACATGATCAATGGCTATAAATCTTAAGGACCACAGCTGATGGCCCTTCTCCAGGCCTTTTCTCCTGGAAAATGCCTTGCTCTTGAGTTGTTATATTATTCATCTTGGCCTGTAATTTTAATTAGTGGCTTATAGGCCCTTATATTTGGTTTAATAGCAAATTACTTATATAATATCAGAAAGTGGAAAAGGGCACATTGTGGTATTATTAACGACTTTTTATCTATCCAGCCGTCCGTCTGTCTGTCTGAGGTGTGTGTATATATATATATATGTATATATTAAAAAAAAAAAATTTTTTTTTTTTTCCTCACCCCTCTTGGGTGGTATATGTTCCTTATTCTCTGGTCCAGAGGACTATTTATACCCCTCTTTGAAAATCCACATTTATATGATATATCATATGATATGAATGATACGTCAAATATCATATGAATGTGGGTTTTTAAAGAGGCTTATAAATAGTGATTTCCATAGAAAAATCTGAATAAGAAAGGTTAATAAAGTGATTATCAAAGAAGCAGCAGAGATACCTCAAAGTCTCCCATTAATTTAATTAGGTTAAAAGTGCCTGCTGATAGTTCAGCCCTTCTTATTATGATTGTCTTTTACTGAAAATCTAGTCAGTCTTTGTCACAAATGAACATTTTGAATAAAGTAACGATGCACACGATTATGTTGTATTTTTAACGCCATATGATTTCTTTACAAGTTGTGCCCAAACAAAATTGTGTAAAATATGTTTTTCAAAGGGACAATCAGTTGGCATGACTAATACGATATAGTTGGAAAATGAACATTTTACTTAGGTCGTTTTCTTTTCCTGGGTAAAGAAATTAGCTCTTTGGAACAGGCACTGCACTGTTGTAAATAAGTAATGCTCATTCAACTATTGTAAGCTTTTACTATTCAAATATGGCAGGAGTGCAGATACACTTACGTAAGGCCTAACGAACAGTAATTATCTTTTGCTTGAATAAAAAGCCCAAACAAATGCTAAGCTGCATTATCGCTTGGCTTCTGACATGAGCTGATAATCAGATTTTCATGTTTAAAACCATGATCCTTAAACAATGCCACTCACTGTCTGTGCCTTCCGATATTACCCTTAATTAGAAGGAACAGAAACACAAATCTGAATTATTTTAAAATCTGGTTTCTCTGGTCAGTGGCTTCAGAGTTTTAACTTTATTACAAATGAGCCAGGCTTTGTGAAAGAGTGAAAACTAAACCGGGTATTCTCAATCTGTACTTGTATCAGGCAGAACCATGTATTTTGTATCATACAGATTTAAAAAAAAAAATTGAATAAAGACAGGACACGTTCCGTGGAAATCTGTGCAATTGATAACAATCGCTTCTTTCAGGGTAGTAAAATTTTAATGTTTTTGAGTACTTCTTTGTTTTTTTGGATCATTGGGGTTTATTCACTAAACAGTGATATGTAGTTCAAAAACTACTAAATTTGCAAAATTGCAAACATTGCCACATTAGAATAGTAAAATAATTGGGCCATATCTACATTTTACTGTTTTAGCCTAACTGTGAATTGTTGGGAATTCAAAGTGAATTTTTGAGAATTCATCATTTGACGAATAAAACTATTTTTAAGAAGGTGCAACATGAAAAACAGAATTCAAACCATTTATTCAAGATATCTTAGTTGCATAGCTACATTGTAATCTAGGTTGAACAAATAGTCAAGTTTATAAAGTTCATATTTTAACACATTTGTTTATGGTGTTGTTGATTCTGAAGATCTAACATGTGACCACCAAGGCCTCAAATTTGGATAAGATTTTCAAATCATTTAATATTTTTTGAGAAACTTTTAGAATATTTTTTTTTTTTTTTTTAAATATTCAAATATCAAAAAATATACAATATAGAAAAAATAAATAAAAAGAATTAATCATGATATTAAAAAATTTAACAATTTAAAAGTTTATAAAAAATATGCTAAAGGAGCTCTGTCACCTCAAACTTGCCTTTCGCTTATTTTTTCCTCTTCTCTTCCTGTTTCTGAATCTGTTTTTCTTCCTGTATTTCTAATCTTTTTCTATTTAAAACATAAGTCAAAGTAGGGACTTTTTACATAAGGGCTTTCTTCGCTATGAGAGCTCATTCTTTGGCAAGCCTAAAATATCAGTGAGAGCGCTCTTGGCATAGAAAAAGTTCTGCAATATCTGTAAGAATGCTGTGATTGGTTGGATTGTAAGTAAGTCAGCCAACCAATCAAAACGCACTGACAGCTAAATCTCACTTCTTTCAAAACTTGTCTATTATAGTGCTCTGATTGATTTTCTCACAAGCCAACCAATCAGAGCACCGAGAAATTTTCACCTGTGCAGGCGATTTTTAATATTTAGATTTTTGTTTTTGTTTGTGTTAGGGTTTTTTTTTTTTTAATTTTTTATAACTTGCATCAGGAAGCCTGTTTTTTAATTTACCATTTTTGGGGGCTGAAGAAAGAAGACTTTTGGGGGTAAGTATAATTATTATTTTTTTTTTTTAACCCTGTAAATCTTATTATTGTGGGGGTGGGGTAGGTGGAGGTTAAGATAAAGATGCCACCAGACATCCAGTGGGTAGGAAGGGGGGCATGTCAGTAGTTCTGGGGTGGACAATGGCATGTCAACTCCATCTGCTGCCCATGGACCTAGTGTCCTTCCCCATTTACTATTATAATTAGGGCTCCCACTCACCAACAGGTATGATAGAAACATTTAAATACATAAAGGGAATCAACACAGTAAAGGAGGAGACTACATTTAAAAGAAGAAAAACTACCACAACAAGAGGACATAGTCTTAAATTAGAGGGACAAAGGTTTAAAAATAATATCAGGAAGTATTACTTTACTGAGAGGGTAGTGGATGCATGGAATGGCCTTCCAGCTGAAGTGGTAGAGGTTAACACAGTGAAGGCATAAGGCTATGTCCCACATTTTTTTAAATCGGTGCTTTGTGAATCTTTGTATAGGATTCGGATACGAAAGCACTGGTTTTAATCCGGACACCAAGTGCATCTGGGTGATTGCTAAAGTTTCATTCATGGTGACCAGATTCTGACCATCTCTAGCGCTCTAAGGTTTCTAGCACTCTCTTTTCACTCCCCTAGCACAATGTGTGAGAGATACTCAAGAAGATGAGGAAGGTCGCAGGATACACTTACAGGGGTGATGGAACAGAGATACACCCAAAGGAGACATGATTTAGGTCACATGAGAAGATTTTTCAAAATTTAAGAATGGAATGTTTATAGGTAAGATTCTGGGCAGCCATGGAAAGGTCTGGGTAGAAACACGTGTACTCATTTTTACTGAAGGCTAATATCATGGTAATACTGGTAAAAATGTAATCAATGGAGATGTTATGTGCTCAGTCATAAAAAAGGACATGAGTGGAGATACTTCCAAACTGGGTATAAACAGACAGTACAGCATATATAAATCACCATCATGATTGAACAAATTGCAGTAAGAACAGAAGGACTGGCACAACAAGGTGATTTGCCCATGTCGAGGTAGATCAATCAGGCTGCTTTTTGGGATCAACATCAGTATGAGACAAATAAAAATATATGACTGACTATTAAGGAGGCAGACCGTGCTTACAGAAGCAAAAAAGAACAGGCAAAACATACATAAGAGGCAACTAAATAGGACCCAGTGCAGGAAACAGATGGGTTAGGAAGGTACTTGGAATAAGATACACATTTAACAGGATATGACAGCCCATGACAACAAGACTCATATATACAATTCTGGAGCCAGCACAAACATAATGAGTCACGCACAATTAGCAAGCACAGGACACAGGACCTACATATATAT